CCGCACCGTCCAGGTCATCAGGAGTGTCTGTACTCAGGAATCACTCCTAGTGAGGCTAGGATAACTGTGTGGGGTACCAGGACCTGACCTGGGTCAGTCATATATATTCAAGGTGAATATCGTAACTGCTGTAGTGTCACTCTAGCACCTCCATCCTTGTTGTTCTGTGCCAAGGACGAAAGTCTTTAATATATCCAAGACATGTGATTTGCCATTGAGACTTAAATAATTTTGTTTTTATAGAACCCAGTAATCATTTTCCACTAAGCCTCTATATGTGAAAACAATAAGAAAAATAAATATACACTTGAAAAAAATGTTAAAAACAATGATTCATTTGTTAAAATTTGTATATAAGACTGTGATTATCCTGCAAACTTGCTCCCCAAATCTAGGGACATTAAAATTTTCCTGCACCTCCAGTCATAGTTTTCCTGTCTATTGTAATATTTCCTCATTTACACATACACATTTATAAAAAAGTGATGAAAACGTTTTTTTACGTAGTATGTATACATGGTCTGGAGTGATAGCACAGCGGGTAAGGCGTTTGCCTTGCAAGTGGACAACATGGCCTACCCGATTTTGATTCCTCCAACCCTCTTGGAGAGCCCGGCAAGCTACTGAGAGTATCTCACCCACACGGCAAAGCCTGGCAAGGTACCTGTGATGTGTTTGCTTTGCCAAACATAGTAACAACAAAGTTTCACAATGCAGACGTTACTGGGCCCGCTCAAGCAAATCAATGAACAACAGGAGGACAGTGACAGTGATGTATACATCGTATGTATACATTTTCACAATAGATGAACAAAGATTCATGTGCTGTCATTGTGTCCCCACTCCAAAACCAAAAGGGAGAAAAAGAATAAAACAAATCCCAGCAAAAACAGTTTTGGTTAAATTTTAATAAGTATGCCATATCATCAAATACTCAGTTATATGTACAAACATATTTACATATATTTGTGGAGATATAAATTAAAAATATTAGATTATTGATATGTCAAAGAACTAATTTCTGTTTGTTTTCCTGAAAGCTGGAAAATGCTCCTTAATATTAATAATTTTAGATAAATTATGATGATACCAGCTCAAATTATCACTAAGATTCTCTCTAGATCCAAGGCTCTATTATCAGCATTCAATAGTCTACAAGTTCAGCACATATGCAGATAAAAGTGGAATAAATTTAAATTTCGACATGTTGGTGCAGAAAGTACTTTTAAACACAGCTGACATCTGAATTAAAATGAGAGTTCATAAACATTTCATTCAAGACCGAAAAATATATTCAACTCTTTTGGCCATAGTGCAAGAAATATTACCTACCAAATCATCTGGCCATGAAAAGCACTATATTGACATAAGAATTTAAGTTAGGAGGCAAGAGCTCTGTTCCACTTAGTATAATATCTACACTATATCTCTATTAATTCTCAGAGTCCTAATAGAGATATTAATATCAACCTTTTTCATGTGCATTTTACTTAGGGAAATAAAGTTGTGTAGTAAACAGACTATTAATATCCATTAGATCCTTAGATCTAGCAAAATTTCTGGAGACTCAACAAAGAATTATATGCTTAGCACATATAAACGGGGGGGATATTCCATTGCGCTAAATTTATGAAGACAGAAGTCATCTAACCAATCATCATCTGAGTAAAAGCAGCATTAAGGATAACACAATGAACATATTTCCATATCAGTATATGTTTCTATTAGTACATCAGTGAAATAGGAAGAAGTGGGAGGAAAAGTCACATGTAACATGAAAATTTGGAGAATAGATTTGTTCTTGGATAAATGGAGTTAACACTCAAATTTAAAGTCAGCTATTTTTCCACAGAAAAATTTACCCCCTGGTTGGAATCCATTGAAGCAAGTTCCTTGGGCCTCTATTTGCAAGAAGGACCACCATTTCTGACCAAAGCTGACAGATCAGCAAAGAGATGGTTATAAAAATTAATTGCTGGCTAAGTTCCCAGGAACTCAACAGAAGAAAGATTTTAAAATCATATTTTTTTATCTCACAAAAATAGTCTCTCAAAAATACTAAATACATGAATATAGAAATAATACAGAACCTTCCTATTCATAAAAGGTATTTAGCTTATTTTTGAAAAGCATTCAAAAATGTATGAAAAGACAGATTACTATAGAATAAATGTAACAACATCACAGAAATTTTCTGAAATTGTTTAAAAACAAATTAGAATTTCTAGATTATTTTCAATTGTAAGTGGAGACTTGGGAAAACCTCCTTCTTATAAATATAGTGAATATCTTTGCATCCAGGTTGATCTGAATTGTTGAAACACAGAAACTAGAGAATATATAACCATGTATCCATGTTGCCCTCTACTAAAGATACAAAATATGAATATAAAATAAATTTGTAATGCTTGTTCAAATGGCAATTATTAAACCCTGAAAAACTTTCTGATTTTGAAAATGATGAAACTACTCTCATAGAACATAGAATAGTTTTAAAGTCTCCACATATACATAAAATGTATATGTAGTTATTTACATATCTATACTTGAGTATATAATGAGTGTATATACTCATAATATATACATATAAATATATTTGAAGGTGCCATACTTGCTAGTCTTTAATTGCTTCAGCTTATTGAGCCACAAAATAAGACATGCTGCAAGATCCAACAGTTAATAAGAATTCATCTTTTCTGTTACAGACCACGTAATTCCAAGTTTATAATACTGTGAAGGAGAAATATGTCATAAACAAGAAAATAGTAGTGAGACACATAAATGTGCAACCCTTTGGCCTATCCACTCTTCATTTCTGAATTCAAATCACCTTAAAAATAGGAGATGTGAACATAAGTGAATTTAAGCCACAAGGCACGTAATTCATTAAATTCTTGGTCAAAAGTAAATAAAATTCCTATCAGTTGGCAAAAACATATATACAGTTCAAAAATAAAATCTTACCAGAATATGAAATTTATATAACTTGCCTTTCCTCTCAATAATGGCTCATACCACAATTTAACAAATGACTAGATATAGACTAGAGAAAATAACATTTTTTTGGTTAGGTAAATAATTCATACTTAATATCTACCTAAAATTACTGCTCTTCCTTCTTGAACACTTGGATTTATGTACTCAAAACTATTTAGGAATGATAAAAACAATGTTTTTTCTAGAAGTTAGAACTAAAGGTAGTTTGAAGACTGACCTCATAAAAAACTGGTGATTATTATGAATTAATTTATGTATTAATCACTATATGGGAGTGCTAGGACATATCTGACAAATCAGCCTTGCTACAAATGTGCAAAAGTCTCTTCATCTAAGTTTTCAAGGAGCTCAAAGTCAGATCTATTAGACATATGTTGAATCTATTTATTAGTTTTTATTATGTTCAACTGATTTTTTCTCAATACCATATTGTTGGACTGGAGCAATACCACAGAGGGTAGGGCACTTGCCTTGCACGCAGCCCACCCGGGCCGACCCTGGTTCAACGCCTTCTCTCCTCTCAGAGAGCCCGGCTAACTACAGAGTATATATGGCCCGCAGGACAAAGCCTGGCAAGCTAACTGTGTTGTATTCAATATTCCAAAAACAGAAACAAGTCTCACAATGGAGATGTTACTGGTGCACACGCAAACAAATTGATGAACAATGGGAGGACAGTGCTACAGTGCTACCATATTGTTACAAAAAAGGTATAAATAAGGTGCGAAGAATGTACTAGAATGTACTAGGTGGACTGCGCAGGATCCCTTTACAAAAAACAAATGCCTTTATTAGCCACCTGTATAACTGTACTCATGTCTACTCAGCGGTTGAAGATATATATGTTTTAAGAAAAAAAAAAGTTTAGGGGCTGGAGCCATAGCACAGCAGGTAGGGTGTTTGCCTTGCACGCAGCCAGCCCAGCCGAGCCAGGTTCGATTCCTCTGCCCCTCTCAGAGAGCCTGGCAAGCTACCAAGAGTATCTCGCCTGCACGGCAAAGCCTGGCAAGCTACCGGTGACGTATTCAATATGCCAAACACAGTAACAACAAGTCTCAAAATGGAGATGTTACTGGGCCAGCTCAAGCAAATCGATGAACAATGGGAGGACAGTGTTTGCAGTTAAGAGGTCTTGCACATCAAGCTGTTCTGTTAACTTTCTGAATGGTGATATTATGAATCACAAAGAGTTACAAGCATACCTTCTGTCAAGCATACCTTCTGTCAGTGGAAGCAGTTCTAACTAAAACAATGTGGTATTGAAAAAAATTCATCAGTTGAACATAATAATGAACCAAAATAGATTCAACATATATAGTCAGCTGATACCAAAAAAAAAAATGAAACCATAGCAACACAATAAAAATAGCTTCTTAAATTGATGTTGTTAGAACAAATGAATGTAAACATATAAAAATGTCAGTTTGGGTAATTTGGGCATTATCATTTGAGAGGCCATCTTGTTTGGTCATTTGCTCACTTTCAGCACACATCTCCAGTCCCAAGCAAATCCTTCCAACCATTATTGTCATAATAGCCTCTTCTCTGTCCCAACTACTCTTTTTCCCAGACCTTGAGGCAGGCCTCCAATCATAGAGCATTTTATCTGACCCTTGGTTCTATTATCCTTGGATGTTAATGTCTTCTGATGTTTTGTGCCCAAAAGGAGGAGGGGGAGAGTGGAGAGAGAGAGAGAGAGAGAGAGAGAGAGAGAGAGAGAGAGAGAGAGAGAGAGGAGGGGGAGAGTGGAGAGAGAGAGAGAGAGAGAGAGAGAGAGAGAGAAGAAAAGTGCCTGTTTTAGAGGCAGACTGAAGGGTGGGGGTGGACAGAGGGATACTGGGGATATTGGGGATGAGAAGTGTACACTGGTGGAGGGATGGGTGTTAGAACACTGTTAGACTGAAACTCATGGAAACTTTGTAACAATATCTCACAGTGACATGGGGATTCAATAAAAAATAAAAATTTTATAAAAAAAATAAAGGTACTGGCGCCTTGCAGGTGCTGAACTTGTCACTATAGATGTGGCTACCTGGCCACAGTGGTGACAGCAGGGCAGAGCTTGTGGCAATTTCTACATTCAGTGTTCAAACTTTTACACTCAGTGTTCAAACCTATGGGTGCTCAGAATGGTTTGTAGCCTCACATTTGCTGGGGTGCAAGGAAGAAAAAAAGAAAAAAAATGACTGAAAGTATAAGCTTAGAATGGAAGAGATAAATGCCAAGATCTCACTAGTATTAACAAATGAAAAACACATAAGGATTAATCTTTCTGCACCTGTTTTTATCTGAGCCTTTAAAAAATGTAAAAAAAAAAAAGTAAATACAAACACAGACCTCGCACATGTCAAAAATATGACAAAAAAAAGATGATTGATCCAAATGGATAACCAAACAGTAAATTTCCTAGAGTATATTATAGGAGAAAACCAAAACGATTTGGGGCATGATAATGACTTTTTAGATAAAACACAAAGGTACAATCTATGAAGTAAATAACTGATAAGTTGGACTTACTTAAAAACTGGTTTGGGACCAAAATGTTGGCAGGAGGAACCCCTTGCTACACTCCAAAGAATAGCAAGCTACAATTTACCAAGTGAACAGGAAGCTGAGAATTCTGTGGTTCAGAGACAGTGACATGCCCCGTCATCTAAAGACAAAATGCAATAAAGGAAACACAGAGAAGATTCAGACCTCGTCAGATAGAAGATAGGTGGAAGATAGCACATGGAGATTGCAGTCCAAAGAAGGAATACAGACAGCCAAACCATCAGCACAAAAAAAAAAAAAGGAGAAAAGAAAAGATATGGAGTAGTGTGGCCTGACCTACATAAAGCCCATACTGAGGCTTTGGGCTGCTCAGAGCAGGGAGGTGAGGGTGGGGTGGAGACAGAGGGGAGAGAGAGGGAGAGGAGTACTGCTTCAAACATCAGAATGGATCTAATTTGGGAACCAAGAGAAGAATATCAGCAATTCCACAGAAACAAAGTCTGCCTCTTCCACCCCACCCAGCATGAAATCCCCATGTATCTTCCCATGTATCTGTCTCTGTCTCTGTCTCTCTCTCTGTGTCTCTCTGTCTCTCTGTCTCTCTCTCTCTCTCTCTCTCTCTCTCTCTCTCTCTCTCTCTCTCTCTCTCTCTCTCTCTCTCTCTGTCTCTCTTTCCCCCCACAAAGGTAAAACAAGACCAAGACCATCCCTTAGAAAAAGAAATTTAAATAAAACCACAGTGCCACCTGCTGGATATATAAATGTAGTTTAATTCTTTACTGTTTCAGTGAGGAAGAAATTATAAAAATGGCAATTCCACAAGAAAGGACAAATTGATATACGTGAACCCAGAAAAGCTAGTGAAAGTAATATAATGAGGACCAGAAAGAAAGTTTGCGGGGTAAGGAGCTTGTCTTGCATGTGGCCAAGCACAGTGTGGTGTAGTAGTCCCCCGTGAAAAGAGCCAGGCAGAGCATGTCTCAACCCCTGCCACAAAAGGGATATGAAAAACATTACAAAACTGCAGGGCCAGAGAGATAGCATAGCGATTATAGCGCTTGCCTTTCACACAGTCCACTAGGGTTGGATCTCTGAAATCACATATGGTCTCCAAGCTCGCCAGGAGTAAAATATAAATGCAGAACCAATAGTAAGCCCTGAGCACAGCTGGCTGTGGCCCCAAACAAAAAAAATTAGAAAATTCAGAAAATGTATTAGTAATCTCAGATACATGTATTTTAAGTATAAATTTGAGCTTTAGTTAAAAAAATAACACATTATATATGTGAATAGCTCAATGAACCATATGAATATCACTAATGAAATCTGTTTATAGTATTGTCCTGTATAGCTCTGTCCTCCTATTGTTAATGGATTTGCTCGAGCAGGCACCAGTAACGTCTAAATTGTGAGATTTGCTCTTACTCTTTTTGGCATATCGAAATCTATGTCACTGTCACTGTCACTGTCCTCCCGTTGTTCATCGATTTGCTAGAGCGGGCCCAGTAACGTCTCCATTGTGACACTTGTTACTGTGTTTGGCATATTGAATACGTCACGGGTAGCTTGCCAGGCTTTGCCATGTGGGCGAGATACTCTCGTAGCTTGCCGGCCTCTTCAATAGGGCAAAGGAATTGAACCTGGGTCGGCCAGGTCAGCCGCTTGCAAGGCAAATGCTCTACCAACTGTGCTATCACTCCAACCCGTCGAACTCTATGTAAATAAGATAATTAAAATAGATGATTGAATCAGTGCAGTCAAAAGGATATCTAAAAAAAAAATCAAAAGAAAGAAGAAATTAGATGTTCTGAAAACTTAAACCACTCTATGAGAACTGAACAACTCTTTTAGAAAAGGCAACATAAGGATGATGGGGAGTCCAAAAGAGGAATTGAGAGAGACAAAAACAGAGCTATTCAAAGAAATAATAGTAGGAAACTCATCAAACTCAAGAAGGAATTTAATATAAAAATTCATGATGCTAAACAAAACATTGGACTATTTAAATGCAAAGAGATTTATACTAAGATTTTTAGTGAAACTATCAAGACTTCAAGACAAATAAATAATGATATAGGTGGAGATAAAATACGAACTTAAATGGTACTCATTCCAAGCCTTTATCAAACTTGCCAGAATTTTTTAAAAAATGATATAGCAGAAGCTGCGGTGTGGAGCACCAGGTCACTCTAAAGCTCCCCCCATGAAACAGGGTGAAAATAGATAATGGCATGTCTGGGGTGGGATTTGGCAGCAGATCAAGGAAGCACCAGACCCATCTCTTTTTGTCTATCGGCCTGAACAGCACCTCTGTGCTGGCCTCTAGACTCATCCCTCCCTCAGTTAGGGCTCTGCGCCCAGAAACATGGCCCTTATGATACCCTGAGCACTGTCAATAATGATCCCTGAGGGCAGAGCCAGGAGTAAGCCCTGAACAGTGCTGGGTGTGCACCAAAGCCCTCCAATTTAAAAATAATAATAATTAATTAAAGTATTGGTATAGGGACCAGGGAGAGAACTCATGTCGTAGAACATAATCCTAGCATGTATGAGACCCTGAGTTCTAACCTTGACACCTCATGGCCCTTCCAGTATTACTAGGAGTGGTCTCATTTCACACAGAAACACAGAATATGACTTCTATAAAAATCACTTAACTTAATCACTTAACTTCCCGTTAGTCGTCGATTTGCTCGAGCGGGCGCCAGTAACGTCTCCATTTGTCCCTGTCGCGTGCTAGTGTAGCCCAATGGCATCTGTTCGCTCCGGGAACATGAAGGGCCTCAAACCGATCGTTCATGATCTTCAGGAAGAAGTCTGACCATCTGGTAGGTGGGCGGCCACGCGGTCTCTTGACATCCCGTGGAATCCAATCAGTAACAGCTCTAGTCCAACGGTCGTCTTTAAATCTCATTACGTGACCAGCCCATCTGATTTTCGACACCTTGGCAAATGAGACAGCGTCCCTGATCCTTGATCGTCGACGGATGTCAGAACTCCGGATTCTTTCTCTCAATTGAGTGAAACGTGATATTCCAAGCATAGCTCTTTCTATTCTTCTTTGGGAGACCTGAATGGCGTTCTCATCTTGTTTGCGTAGGGCCCAGGTCTCTGAGGCATATATTAATGCAGGAAGAACAGTGGAATCAAAGAGATGTGCCCGGAGCCGGAGGTTCTTCGTCCTCTTAGCTATTTCTTCGACGTTCTTGAAGGCGTTCCAAGCCGCTCTCTTCCTCCTGCGCAGCTCGGGTGCCAGGTCATTTGTCATGTTGACCTCTCGACCTAGGTACACATAGCTGTTGCATTCGGAGATGGTCTTTCCATTGAGAGTGAATGGGGCGTCAGGAACAAGGCTGTTTCTCATAAACATTGTCTTCGTAAGATTCAGCTGTAGTCCTACCTTTCCACACTCACGGTCAAAGTCGGCCAGCATTTGTGCCGCTTGGCTGATGTTTGGTGTTATTAAAACAATATCATCAGCAAAGCGGAGGTGGTGTAATTGCCGACCATCTATCTTCACTCCCATTCCTTCCCATTCCAGTCGTCGCATGATGTTCTCGAGGGTGGCACTGAAGAGTTTCGGTGAAATGGTATCACCCTGCCGCACCCCTCTCTTGACATCAACGATCACTTCTTTGTAGAATGGTGAGATCCTGGTAGTGAATCCGCAATACAGCTCACGGAGGATCCTGATGTATTGGGCTTGAATGCCTATAAAAATAAAAATAATAAAAAAAATTAACTTTGGTTCATCCAGGGAATAGAATGCCATTCAGAACTAGAAAGTGAGTTAATAAATATCCTGTATATTATTTATTCAATTTGCTCGAGCCGGCCCAGTAACGTCTCCATTGGAGACTTTGTTGTTACTGTGTTTGGCATATCGAATACTCTCGGTAGCTTGCCGGGCTCTCCGAGAGGGGTGGAGTAATCGAACTCGGGTCGGCCATGTTGGCCGCTTGTAAGGCGAATGCCCTACCCGCTGTGCTATCACTCCAGCCCTTACTAGGTTAATAAAGTCAGTGTAAAATTTCTGCATGCTTTGTGACTCCTAATACATGATATTCTAAAAAATATATATAGTTTTATATATCACTTGATCACTTGACTTCCTGGTAATCATCGATTTGCTCAAGCACGCACCAGGAACGTCTCCATTTGTCCCTGTCACGTGCTAGTGTAGCCCAATGGCATCTGTTCGTTCTAGGAACATGAAGAGCCTCAAATCAATTGTTCAGGATCTTGATGAAGAAGTCTGGGTAGCCGCCTACCGCCAGAGACCCAGGGATTGGATTGAGCACAGAAGACCCACCCTACCCCTACGGTACCCCATAAATACCATAAATATCTCACTGGCAGACCTCCACTACTTCCACTACCTCAACTACCCAGCAGCCGCCACGCTCCAGGCACTTTCCGGACGCTCGGGCGGAGACTCATGCATGACTGAAGCCCCACAGAACAAAGTAAGCGGAACTCTGAGACCTTGGACTCCAAGCTCAATGGACCCAGACCTCTGCTTGCTCCCACCAACCACAGGTGAGGAAGAGATTAAAACCAGGAGTCCCACCCTACCCTGCCCTGTCTGCTTCCACCAGCCCCAGAGACCCAGGGATTGGACTGTGCACAGAACACCCACCCTACCCCTACTGGTAC